TCAGTTGATTACATATACAGAAACCTGAAAAGAAAATATAAAGAGAAATACCCACTAAAATAACATCAGATAAAAAGAAAACAATTAATAACAAGTTTATATAATAAACTTAATGAAACAGATGACAAACATATAGTGAAAACTATAAAACATTGCTCAAAGAAATTAAGAAAGACAAAAATATATAGGAAGACAACATACTTTCATTCACTGAAGGAAAATTGTTGTGATGGCAAAATTAACCAAAGGAATCTGTAAGTTTGCTGCAACATAATCAACAACTTTATTGAAAGAAGTAGCAACATATAATTTTAAATTTCATATGGAAACCAAGGGGACTCAGGATAGCTAAAATATGCTCCAAAAGTATAAAGTATAAAGACTCACAAATCCTTATTTCACAAGTTACTACAATGCTAAAGAATTCAAATCTTATGAATTGGCAGTAGAATTTTTACAGAGCCCAGATAAAAATCCTTAAATATATGGTCAAATTATTTTGGACAAGCAAGTCAAGATTTTGCAATCAGGAAAAGTTAAATTTCTAAAAAAAATTCTATTGTGAAACTGGACAAAATGAAGTTGAAATTTCCCCCATACTGGGTGTAAAATTTGACTCAAAATGATTCCAAAACATAAAGTTGATGAAACACTACATATCTTTTGGAAGAAAAAGGAGCAATATTTTATGACATTACCCTTAACTACACTTTCTTAGATGTGACAGAAGGAGCAGTCAAGAAGGAACAGATAGGTAAGTTGTACTTCACCTAACTTCTCTGATCTTTATGGAAGCACTGCCATCTGTGTCTCTCTAATTGGATATCAGGGCTGTAGCGATGAGACACTTGTGCCCTGATTGTTGTCACACACTTACACAAGTATTATGGTGCACACATAAATGCACACACACATACATGAAGTTAGGAAGAGCTCCAAGTACACAAGTGACCTCTTTGTTATGGATGTGTGATTCATTTTTTCACAAGCAATGAACTGGTATTTTAAAACTTGTGCTATTGATGGTGTCATTCCCACTGCCCAGTTTTTCTGAGTATAAAAGTAGTCGGTGAACAGTACACAATGGGGTGCTGACATCATCACACAGCCTGTCACAACCTTGATGTCAGAGGGAGGTCCAGTGTCTCACAGAAGGACTTGAAAGATTTGAATAAAAATAGTGACTGAAAGAAATGCCTCTCTGCAGCAGCCCCAGCAGCATACGGTGAACGCTGAGCGTTCAGGGAGTTAGGGAGACAGGGAGACAGACTGCAGCAGTGGAGGAGATGGAGTTGGGCCTGCAGGGGTGGATAACCCCAAGCTCTGCCCTCAGGTCGGCTCCTCTGGACACCACTAGGGGCCCTGCTCTCTCCCCTCCTCCACTCAGTCCTACGCACCCAACACAGCTGACAGAAGCACTCCTGCTTTTGTGCCTAAGAACAGTGTCACCTGAGCAACAGAGTCAGCTGTGCCCCTTCCCCTCCATGCCTTCCTTCCCAGCAGGAAGTGGAGAGGTGCTGAGAAGGCGGAGCTGGGTGGAGATGAGAGAGGTGTTATGTCAGCAGCTCTGCACAGCAGCCTGGGTGGGTGGGGAATCAGCGCCTTCTCCACCCTGGATTTTATTCACTGTCTCTTGGTGTAATGAGAGAGAAAGGGACAGTATGAAGATGGCACTGGGGACTAAGGACAGATGAGTATTTCCAGTTGTGACACAGCTGGACAGACAGCTCAGCTGTATCTCAGCAATAAATGCAAAATCTGAGCTCTCAGAGTGAAGACAGTGCTAGCTGGTAAACTTCTACAGAAAGGTGTAGCAGACATCAGTGCCCAGTATTAGCAGGTTCTGGTTCGTTGAGACCCAGTCCTGGCACCCTTTGTTCTCTCCAAGCAAGATAAGCAGCGCCACCCCCTTTTCCAGCTCCGTTTGTGTATTGGCTATGGCCAGATGCTTCCAGATGCTTCACCCTGTATCACTAGGGGTCTCCAATGCCTACTCTGCTCACCTTCTGCTCACATTTGTGATCAGTACATGTTGGGTGTATGTGGCACCCTTGTCTTTGTTTCCCGGAGCAGCACAGATCAGCCCCAGACTCAGTTTTCTCTTGTGTCCATCTTTATTCTTATTAGCGAGCACTGTATTGTCTCATAGGAGACTCAGACCCCCAGCCAGGGCTCTCAGTAATGTTCTCAATAGAAAGGAGCAGAGGAGACACGCAGATGTAAGGGATCAAGTCAGGCAGGTGCATGAGCTGAAGATGCACAAAGCAAGCTCCAGGTCTGGGGACAGACAGGGCTGTTTCCCAGAAGTCCCTCTGCTGTGTACTGGACCCTACACCTGAAGCTCAGCCCCTTCTACCACTACGGATCATTTATGCTTAATGTGCCTGCACTTTAAAATTGCTCTGAAAGTGACTACTGTGAATTATCTACTATTTTTCTCTCATTGGTTCCTGTCTTCATGGTGAATGGAGAGGATGAGACAGGAACATAACACATTTTGAGAAACCTGAGCCCTCATTTAACTGTTAATCATTACAGTGCCTTCTACTCATTACCGCACACCCAGTGAAATTAGTGTCAGTGGGTTCCTGGGCTCAGCACATCATCGGCAGCAGGGAGAGGGAAGAGCTGTGTCCAGGGATGCAGATGGAGCCGAAGGAGACCTTTTCTCCTGGGAGCCTGACACTTGCGAAGCTGAGGTCTTGACAGCAGTGGGAGCTGGGTGGGAGCCCCGGGATGCAGGAAGGATAAACAGGGCCTGGGGGTGCTGCTCTGCAGAACTCGCACCCCAAGTGGGCTGCACAGGCTGCACAGGTGAGTGCCCCTGACTCTGAGGACTGTGGCTGCCAAGGAAGGGAGCTGGGAAGCAGGTGGGTCAGGGCAGGTGGGGAGACAGAGGGGTCTGAGTGTCCCTGTCTCATGTGGAAAAGCAGCTGTCATGACACAGAAAAGAGGCAGCCATCATCTACCATTGACACCCAGGAAGCTCTGTCTCTGGGCCACGAGGAAGCCCTGGTGTGGAAGCTCCGTGCTTGATGCACTGTGGGAGACTGCTTCTGTATAGGAGAGGGCAGAAGGGGAGGCCTGCCCGCAACTTCAGCCTGAGAGCCAGGTGGGATTTATTCTCTGCCACCTCCTGGCCCTGTTTGTACCCTTTTCCCTTCACAACAGTTGGGATTGCTGTTTAAAACCATTGCATTATTTGTGTTGTCCTTGGGCTTTCAGGATGGAGACTCTTGCCCTCTGTATCACTTCCCTCCCCTGGACTTAAAATGTAGCCCAAAGTATTTTTCAGAGAACAGAGAGAGATTCAGTCATGCCAACACCTGGTAACCCTCACGCTTACTTTTTGAACATGATCCTGCAGTGCTTTCTGGGAAGTTACACAAGTGCTACGTACAGTGCTCATTGCATCTCCCAATAAAGGCACAGCAGACAACACCATTGCTAGCTCATGAGTAAGAGAAATTGAGGGCTTAGAGAAGCCAAGAAATATGCTCATGGTCTGTCCGTAAGGAGACAGAGACCACTCAGGCAGCTTTGTGACCACTGGCAGCATTAGGACCAGAGACTCATATAATAATTTAGTAGTAAACTACTTTCAGTGTTTAATAGCAGGCTCTGTGCTCACTCAGGCATCAGACAGAAAGAAGCATCTCTCAGGTGTTCTCAGTGCCTGGGGAGGAAGGAAGCAGATGCACAGGTCCCGTAGCCTGGTGAGCTCAGAGAAGGTGTAGAAGATAAGACTCTATGGTGACTTGTGAGTGGAGGACAGCAGGGAGCTAGGAAGGGTGAGGCTGCAAAGGACACCATCCTGGATACTCTGAGTATATTCTTGAGACAAGGTAAGTGCATGTGTTACATTTGCTCAGGAGAGGGGCTGAAAGTTCCTCAGAGATATCTGGAAAGGAGGACTCCTAAATTTTGGAGGACAAATGGAAGTGACATTGACGTATGAAGATGTATCTGTATCTATGTCCATATTCGTATCTGCACCTGTGTATTACAAGAAAATAAGTGAAGCAGAGTTCTCATTTAAAAGCTCCTTTTAATATAATGCAGAAGAAACAGAAGCATAGGAATGGGAACGCCATTTACAAAGTGGTTTTGCAAATCACAACAGGAGACGTTAGAGGGACTTGACACAGGTGAGGAATTTGGGGTTATAAAAACCACTCCATCTGACAAATTTCCAAAGGTAAGAGGTGTCTCTTTTTGGAGCCGACAGGAGCAGTGTCAGAGCTGGAAACTGTTTCTCTGGTGCTTTCCCGGGAGTGTTCCCAGGAGAAATGGAGATGAAGAATGAAAAAAGGAGCTCTGGTATTTTCCCACACATGCTTCAATTTGGAAGCACAGCCTTCCCCACAGTTAGCCCCTGAGGCACAAGGTCTGGTATTTCTCCACCCCTATTAAGGAAGCTTTGTGTCCCTTACAGCCAAGGCCACCTTGGCTCAGGGGAGGGTGATCAGGCAGTGGATTTCCTCTGGGAAATTCCTCTGTGTAACAAACTCACTACTCCCTGCGGGTATTTGTGTGATGGTTTAGGAAATCAGTGGAGTACAAAGAAGCCACTGGCAGAACGTGATGTACAGGGTGAGGAAGGAAGTGTTTGGGCTGACACTCAGGACAATGCTTGCGACAGCAGGTGGTGTTGCCCTTGGTTTAATTTTTGTCTAGAAGAAAATCAGCACATACACTTAGGATGTGAGGGCCACAGGCAGGATCTTTCGGACAGAGAAGCGTGAGTGTGGTAGATGCACCCACATGGAGTTTGTGTCCAAAGTGTAGCCATCACCACCTCCATGTCAGTAAAAGGAAGGACAAAGACACAGAATAAAATCAGGTATTGACCTGGACAGAACCGTGTACATTTACATTTATCAGAAAGTGTTGTTTTTGATAGAGTTAATGGACCGAACTCTGGGAACTGAAACATGTCAACTTTGGTTGTTTGTGTTTCCCCAAAGGTTTTGCTAGTGTGGTCTATGTTGCCTGTGATTCGGAAGATGCTTTGGATGAACCTCATCCAGAGAATAATTTTTCTTTCTCTTACGGGACCAGGAATTTTGGGGAACATCCTCATATTCATAAGACATGCATATGTTTTTGCTTTGATTCCTAAGAAAAATACCATAGATTTTATCATCATTCACCTGGCTTTTTCAAATGCAATCATTATTGGTACCACCAGAATCAGAGATATCTCCACAGTTTTCTACTTCAGAAACTTCCTTGGTAGTGTTGGCTGTAAAACTGTGGTTTACCTGGGAAGGGTGGCCCGGGGCCTTTCCATCTGCACCTCCTGTCTCCTAAGCATCGTCCAGGCCGTCACTATCAGCCCCAGGACCAACCTGTGGGGACAGCTCAAACCACAGACCACATGGCAAGTTCTTCCCTATTTCTTCCTGTTTTGGATCATTAATTTTCTGACAAGCTCCAACTTGCTGCACTCCATCACAGCAGTCAGCAGCATGAACAGATCTGTGATTGGAACGTATGCTGGGTATTGTTATTTGCTGCCATCCAGGCAAATCATCAGCTGGCTTTTCCTTTCTCTCATGGCTCTTCGGGACGTCATCTTCCAGAGTCTCATGGGCTGGAGCAGTGGGCACATGGCTTTCCGTCTGTATGAGCATCACAAGCATGTGCTCTACCTGCACAGCTCCAGGTTGGCAAAGAATTCCAGCCCAGAAATTAGAGCTATGCTAAGCACTCTCATTCTCATGACCTGCTTCCTTTTCTTTTTTTTGGACAGGTTTCATTTTTTCCTTATACATAGGTTCCACTGTGATGAATGAAATCACACTACTTTATATTAAACTGTTTCTAGAACTTGGTTACGCATCTCTTAGCCCCTTTGTCCTGATGAGCAGGGACGTTCGTGTCACTAAACCGTGGCCGCTCAACGAGAGGTGCACCCGACTCCATTGTGCTCAGTTCCTGCATGAACTCAGGATCAGTGCGTTAGAAATCGATTAGGCGTAATGTAATGCATCCAATGTTACCTTGATCAAGGTTTAGGGTACTATATACACTTTTTGTTTTAAGACCCCTGTTACTGGAGGATCTAAGGCTGATCAGGAGGTCCCAGAAGCTGGAAACACAGCTTGTTAGGAATTTCCCATCTCGCTACTTGGGAAAAACAGTGCAGGCCATGCTGCTGGGACATCAGTACCTTCCCCCATCAGACCTTTCAGTCTAGGAGAACCCAGGCAGTTCCGTACCCGCCTCTCCTCTGAGCCCCAAGTGAGCCTGGCGCTGCCCTGGCACGTAGTGAGGACCTGCCTGCCAGGGCCATGGATGGGGGGGTGCCGCCTGTGTGTGTGCCATCTGTGCAGTGGGACTGACCCTGACCTGTGAGGATCCCTTCGCCCAGCTGAAAGGGGCCGCGGGAGAAGACCGGGCGAGGAGGAGACCGCCAGACAATCGTGCACGCAGGCGTGTGAAGGCCCCGGGGACGGAGAGGCCCACATGTCACGCAGCCTGGAGCACAGGCGCGGGTTCTCCTTGGAGAACCGGGCCGAGGAGGGGTCCGAGGAGCTGCCCTGCAGGCCCAGGTCCCGCTCTGCTGTCATCCCAGGCTTATGTCACCCGCCCTGCAGCTCCTGGGGACAGACTCACTCACCTCCTTCTTTGCTGCAGGCCCCAGAGGTTCCGGTGATGGCGGCCAGGGCTGGATCTAGGCTGTGGGGCGCTGTGACCGGCTCAGTCCTGTCCTGCCCAAGGAGGACCTGGACTGCGCTGCGGATGAGACCATGTACACCCCGGCCCTGGAGACCCAGCGCCTGCATCTACCCGGGTCCCGTGTGAGGGGTCCCTCAGAGCGCCTACTCTTCTGCGAGGTCCCAGGCGGGGCAGGGTCTGGGGGTGCAGAGGGAGCAGAGATCCGGGAGGCTCTCGGTGCTCCAGGGCCCTGGCAGGATCCCGTTTTCAAAGTGACGTGTGTTACGTGCTTGCGCTTTTGCACACGTAGGCTTGTTACACACGATTCCCCTCGACAGGGGCCGTGACACGTGGCCCCCTGAGCGGACCCTGCCGCATTGGCTGAGCCCTGAGACCCTCAGCGGGGCCTCCTTCCCGTGGCCCTTGCCGGTGCGGTCGCGCTATGGGCCTGGCTTATCCTTCAGCCTTCTCACCTGTGCAGCCCTTTGTCCCTGGTAGCCATGGTGCAGGAGTGTGGGGCGGGCTGCTGTTCCTCGTGCCTGGAGTGGATCCCAGGGATCCAGCCAAGCCCTCTGTCCTGAGCCGTCCGGCCCCCCGGAACCGCAGACCAGTGACAGGAGCAGCGCGGGCAGCGCAGCACTGTGAAGCACTAACCAGCTTAGAAAACTATGAAGCTGAGATGTTTCTAGGCAAAGAGATGCACCTGAGACCATACACTTACGTGAAATGAATCGGACACACGTGTGAAAATGTTGCATTTTTCTCTCTGGTGTGAGAAACTGAAAGTGTAAATAAGGACCAAAGTGTATAACCAGTTATTGTGAAAGAGGAGGAACCTTCAAAAAAAGTGAGGAGGGGGCTAGTTTTGTACATTTTGAGGGCAGGAGAGGTTGATGGGAGGGGAGGGGATTGGGGGAAAAAGGAATCCAGATTTATCATGTATAGGTACAAACTCCCTATGATGAATGTGATCATTGTGTATGTATAAATTATACCAATAAACTTAATTGAACAGAAAAAATAAAATAAACTTGTCCAGAATTGACTGGAGCATGTCAACAGTCTTCTCCATCACGTGCCCACGAGCCTCCCTCCTTCCCACTTTTTCCAAGTTACCTTGTGGGAAGCTGTTTCATGTTTCGGAAACAAGCATTTCAATGCTTCCTGCCTTCCACTGGACTAGAGGATATGCCTCCTGCAGACGGTCTGGCTTATTTCTCAGGAGAGATAGCGTAACCTCATTAAGGAGAAAGGAGCCCTGAACATGTGTGTGAGACTTGTCTTCTGGAAAACAAAAAGTGTTCCTGGGAAAGCTGGTGTTTTCCTCTGGGGCAAAGGCACCCTGTTGTGGCTTCCGTTTTCATTAGTGAAGGCTCTCACTGTGCCAGTGGAATTTGGGCGCCATTCCTCAGACCTCTGTTCGGGTGTAATCTCGTATGAATGAGCTGCACAGCTTCACCCGCCAGTGCTCTGGTCTCGGCCAACCTGTGCACTCCCGCGGTGCTCCTGAGCCGCTTCTGTGCCTCACGGAGCTTCAGACTCGCTTCTTACAGTGAGCCAGGGAGGGTCTAACTCTGCAGCCCGCCCTGATCACAGCATGCTTTGGGCATGACCAGTATTGTGGCTTCCTGCAGCTGCACAAATATTACCAACTACAGTGAGACCGGTTCTTTAATAATATCTAGTTCCCAGTACTTTTTCAGTAGTATCTGTTCCACTTTAAATGATTCTTATTACTTGCCTACAATGTATTAGCTAAAAGACTTCAATAAAAACCAATATTTTACTCTGTGCTAATGTATCTTAAGTTTCCTGATATTTATAAAATTCTCGGTCCCTTCAAGAAATCTTATTCCATTTATTTCTTGAAGAAATGAGGATGTTTGTACGACTCAATTTTTATATGTAAATTTTATCCATTGCTCTGTAGTCATCAAATGTGTTGATACCTTCATATTTCCCATAAAGTTATGAGTTGTATAGAATTGATAAGATTGGCCATGATGGTTTTATTCTGACCAGTTCCAAATTTTTCAGTAAGGAATCTGAACACGTCATGCAGCTACAACCAGCAGGGCTACAGCCTCTTATGATGTTCTGTGCACACATGAAAACCCAGGAATAGATCTGAGCAAGGTGGGCTGTAGAACGCAGTCATATACATTGCAGAAAACAGTTTGGAAAAATTTTCTAGATTTGTTGTGATTCCAGCTGGAGACGCATGTGAGAGGAACATAGAGTGCAATAAGGCCCCAGCAATCAGTTGGGGATGCTGAACAGAGACTGTGATTTCAACACTGTAGCTGCAGGGGAAAGAGTGGCTCCATGTTTGCTGTGTGCTCAAGGCAAAGTACCCTGCACTGAGTGAAGCTGTACATCCTGGGGGCTGCTGTCCCAAGCTGTAGGAAATGGAATGCTACAGTTGATTGCACCCCTAAAATCTCCCCATCCGAATCAGGCTTATAACTTGGTTGTGGCAGGCATCTGCACGAGGATAGTGTCCCAACCCTAGAATGGCTCTGTAGATCTTCCCTATTGAACGGAATCTGTAAGCACCCGAGATTATTGGATTCCAAGGTGACATAGAAGGGTACTGAGATTTCATCATCATAAACAAGGTGAGTGTGTGTGCGTGATTGCCCGTCATCACAGTGGCCTTAATCACAGATTTTGGACCAATTTTTTTGGTCACGGTGTTTGGCACCTATAGAACTGAAGCAGACGAGTGCTTTAGCAGCATCTGCTTTGATTTAAATGTAGAGAAAATCCCCCAGATCTACTGAATAGAAATCCGATTGCATCAACCATTGTGAAGCTGATTCCTTCCCTGCTCAGTTACTAAAAACCTACACTGTCCACCTCGCTACAGAACTTGCACAAAAGACCTGCAGTCATTCAGTGGAGTGGATGCAGTGAGAAAAACCCTCCCATACCTTGGAGAGATGAGTCAGAGGCTGTGAAGGGCCCCAGTGTGTGGAGACCCGGGGTCACTGTGGAGCAGCGTCTGGAGGGGCCTGAGAGTGAGGAAAGGTGACCAGCTCCACACTACATGGGAATCTCGTTACCTTACGGTCATCTCTGCTTTCTCTCAGGAATCTTGTCAAATGTTCTCTTGTTTTAATTTTATAAGTTAGTTTGTGATGTGTGCCTGTGTGGCTGTTTTGGTGTTTTTCACATTTCAATTACTCTGAACATTTTGATTTAGTGATTTGTGCCACCAAATTTGAAAAAAATTTCAACCAGGTTTGTCTTCAAGTTGCATGCAAAATTTGACAAACAAAATTAACACGGAGTTCATTTTCCTATTTACATTATTCTGGTAGAAACTATGAGCTTGTGAGATTGAAAGTTGATGAAACTGCTAGACTCATTGTGTGCTCTAAAACCCGGTATTGCCAAGTTCTCCCCCTACGTCTCACATGATAAGACTTGTAACAGTTTTAATTGTGTATTTCTGTATTTTTGCTTTCTCTTCTAATGATTTCATGTTCAACTCTTAACTCAATTCTGGCCGTGTAGTTTTAATAGCTTTCCCCCCTGGAACAAAGTCTTCCCCGCACCTCAGAGGATGGAGAGCAGACCTGGCCCACAGTGGAGGGCTGGGCCAGGGCCGGCTGCAAGGCAGAAACTGCATGCAGAGGGCACAGCGGAGGAAAGCTGCTGGGGCCCCAGAGCTGGTGGCAGAAAGATCCTTTCCAGGTCCCTGGACCTTCTGCCCCCCAGGCCCCACCTCCCACCGCGCTCAGCTGGTAGATCTACTGAGAACTATGGCGCCCTCCGTGACCCTGCCACCTTCCACACAGAGGCTTTGGGGACAGTTTACCTCTAAAGTGTGGCAGAGAGAGGGCAGAGGAGAACCAACTAGGAGCACTCCAAATCCAGGCTGTCCTTGGTTACGTTCAGACAGCAGTCCTGCATCTCCCGCCCCACCTCCCACCGCGCTCAGCTGGTAGATCTACTGAGAACTATGGCGCCCTCCGTGACCCTGCCACCTTCCACACAGAGGCTTTGGGGACAGTTTACCTCTAAAGTGTGGCAGAGAGAGGGCAGAGGAGAACCAACTAGGAGCACTCCAAATCCAGGCTGTCCTTGGTTACGTTCAGACAGCAGTCCTGCATCTCCCGCCAAACCTTTTTGTTGTTAGCGCTTAGCCCTGGTGCCTGGCTTCCAGCCCATTCCCTAAATGCTTGGGAATCCCTTCTCCTGATTGAAATTTCAGAAATGAAGAGCTGAGTTCTTCATTTAAATTAACGTAGGGTCAGATTGTCCTGAAATCCCCAGAGGATAAGCAGTCTGGTAGCACTACGGAGAGAGCC